TTCCTCTTTTGTCGTGTTTGACGTCACAGCCAAAAATAATCGGCGAGGTGAGCCAGATTTTTAGTACTGGAAGCGTCTCGTTGTCTGCCTTGTTCTCAATAAATGAATAAGTATCCAAGCAGAAAATTACATCATATAATGAACTTATATATGAGAAAAAACTAGGCATACACAAATTAGAAATATAAGCATAAATAAATGCACTCAACCAAATATAACAAATTTAAACAATTAAACGAAATTGATTAATATCATTCCCGAATAACGTTCTGTAATGATGAATCTCTGTCGTCCAATGACAGTCAATAATGGATACGCAAAACTATGATGATACGCAACCTTTTTGTCCATTCTAACCACAATCTTTTACGACCAGAGCACAGATCGTACTTGGCCAAATGAAGAATACGAAGAACCTGCCAAGAGCAGAAGGTCGCCATTCCACTCGCAGAAGGAAGGGAAGATTTGGTTAAGAACTGAACGACTTTTGCCTACAATCACTCTTCTATACGACCGCACGACCCGCCCTGTCACCCTGTACCAGCCGGATACATGTAAGTGGTATACTTAGGTGACGATGATGCAAAGGTAACGGATTTTAAAAATATATATATAACGCTGAAGGTAATACTTTTGGTAATACCGATAATACTACTGATAATAACGGGATTATATTTAATACTAATCAAGACAGCATCAAGAAAAATGTCACAGATAGTAAAAAAAAGTAATGGGTAATTCACTTTCTTGGAAATATATTATATACTAACAGAGGAAAAAAACGACGTTTCTAACAGCAAATGAACGTTATCCACAGATGAGGATTCAGCTGCCGGCCAGAGATGGTACTTCAAGGCAGTCCAGGGACACGACGGCATAGCAGACGTCGAAATGTTCCTCCATAGCTCCGTGCAGAAATTCCAGCTGGCCCTCAAGAACCCACGAGGATCAACTACTGTACATCACATTGCTCTTCAGGCCAGTGCCAAGACCCCGTCCCCTTCGCATCTCCTCCTCCCCGCCACGCCCGTCGCGGAGCTCACCCAGGGCCTCGAAGCCCCTTCCGACAGCCTGGTGGTGAACCTCTCCTACTACCTCAAAGACTGGGTGGCCAAAGGCTCTGAATTCTCCATTCTCTTCGAAATGCAGGAGGCAAATCCTCCTACTGACGCTGGCGATAGTCGTGACAATACTAGCTCTTACCAGCACTTTCGCCACCCATTGCTGCAGCCCGTCGTCACTGTGCTGGACCACAACACGACGTTTGCGGTTCGGGAGGACGATGGCCTCGAGGACACTCTCAGAGAAACTCTTGCCGGAAGGATGGCTGAAGTGGTGGCTCGGGGGACGGATGCGGTTGCAACACTGCCGCCTCTCGGAAGGCATCGGAGGGAGGCCAGCGACGAGTGTCAGGTAAATGCAAGTAGAACAAGCTGCGTTGTTTGTTTTAAAGAGGTGGGATAGGGTATTCGGATGTGTATGTCTGTATGTGTATTTGTGTGTGGCTGTAAGAGAGAGATAGAAGGAGAAGGAACAGGGGCAGGAGGAGAAGAAGTAGAAGAAAAAGAAAGAGAAATAGAAAAAGGAGAGTATATCTGCATGTGTGTGTGTGTGTGCATGTATGCGTGTGTGTGCATGTGTGCGTGCGTGCGTGTGTGTGTGTGTGTATGTGTGTGTGTGTGTGTGTGTGTGTGTGTGTGTGTGTGTGTGTGTGTGTGTGTGTGTGTGTGTGTGTGTGTGTGCGTGTGCGTGTGCGTGTGTGTGTGTGTATTCGTTTGTGAGAATATATATATCCATACGTTTTTTTCTTAACTGACCAGCATTTTCTCACCGCCGTTTCCTCCCCCTGTCCCACAGATGTCAATGGTGTCGGTGTCGCTTTCTGGCCTTGGCGTGGACAACGTGGTTTACCCAACGACAGTGGACATGAAATTCTGCAAAGGGTCGTGTCACGTAACCGATGACCCTGAAATGTTTTCAACCAATGCCTTGATACGCATTAAATACAAGTTAGTAAGGAATTAAATTTTGTATAATAATTGTAATGGTGATTAATCAAAAATGTAAATATTGCTGCATACTTGGTTTACGAGAATACATGTATAATTGTTGCTAGGAAAGTGATAGATATTCCTAGACATTTCGAAAATGTTATCTACGGGCTTGTATTTCTTAACAGTTGAGTAAGGGAAAAAAATGTAAATTATTTATAGTGATGATTGGTCAAAATATGCATATAGAGCTTGGTCGCTCGGAATCCAGTGTGTTGTAACAAACATAGCTAGACATAGTATAAAGTTTTCCTTGATCATTTATTGATTTTGTTTCTGGATAAGAAAAAATAATTAAACGGAATAATGATTGATGCAAAATTTGTGGGAGTATGACCGCTGACTTCTGAGGTTGATGTTTGAGGTTTCTACAGGAATTTATTTTGCGTAGGTAAAGTGAAATCAGTATCAGTTCTAGAAAAGTTTTACTAGATAAACTATTGATGAGACGCAAATACATTTAGGGAAATTTTCAGCAACGTTATCAACAAATAAAGCAAATACACATACACATTAAATACACACATACTATGATATATAGATGTAAATGTATTTCCATTATATAATTCTCTCATAATTTCTCTTCCCAGGTTTTTGCGATCATCTTCGCCTGTGCCTCTCCCCCAGTGTACACCCACGCACTACGAGTATCTCCCATTCATCATCTGGCAGAGTGGAAAACTTAAGAAAATCGGCATTCGCGATCTCGATGCTACGATTTGTGGGTGCCGATGAGGACCACGAAATTTGGCTCAAGTTGTCATACCAATCGCTGGTCGGATAACGTGAATCGCTTATTCGATCATTGGATTGTGTGAGTCGTCATATGAATCGTCATTTGGGCTGTGTGTGATTTATCATTGTAATTACTAGCCGGATCGTTGTATGAAATATCATGTGAATCGTTAGCTAAATCGCGTGTGTACATGAATATTTTTTTGAATTGTTTATAGGATTATTCGATTGTGTGAATTATTAATGGAGTCGTTAGGTTATTGGATTGTGTGAATAAATGGTTGGTTTATGCGAATCATCCTGTATGTCATTAGTTGGTATATTGGGTTAATGGGCTGTGTGGATCATTAGATGAATCATTTGTTGGATTATTTTGTGTCAGTGATTATGTAAATAAGTGAATTACCTAAGACGCTGGAATCGTTAGTTTGACTGAGTGAATGGCTCATTCGAATGTGGAAATCGTTGGTTCGATTGCATAAATTGTGAAATGAATCTCAATTTCGGTTATTAGAATGATTCAATATATTATGACGATATATAGGTAAATTATCAGTCTGATCGTGTGAATGGAAGAACTATTGGGAATATGTCAGATGGAGTGCAATATCATGAAAGTGAAAATAATATGCTTAATGGGTGATGATACAGTGACAATACAGTGGTCTATTTACGTATGACAAGAAATTCAGAATGTGTCTTACTCCACAGACAGAGATCTGCAATATATATTTTGACTTCTTGTAGCTAGCTGTATATATTAGGATATCACGTAACTTTAAAAAGTTAGTGTTTACATGTAACACATGGATCTCTTACTAGTATGATATATACAGGAGGATTGTTTTTTAACAGTGTATAAATATATGTGTTGCACATTTGTATTATTTGAACAATATACCGTTCTTTACATTTAGTCTTTCTATAAATCCACACTGAAGCCTTCCCGTTGGAATCATTAAAATTATGATATATATAGTCCCCCTTATAGAATGAACTTTACTTGGCATTCAGCACCTTATTGATATAATATAAATTATAGACGCACATAAGCGCTTACATATGAGCAAGTGAATGGTTAAACTTGTGTGTATAAAGTATCTTCGTATTATAATGTCTTAAGGAGTTGTATATCACAGAAATCATAGAGTCTGTTTCACCCCCCCTCTCTCTCTCTCTCTCTCTCTCTCTCTCTCTCTCTCTCTCTCTCTCTCTCTCTCTCTCTCTCTCTCTCTCTCTCTCTCTCTCTGTGTTACACATGTACACGCATACAGGATTTAACCATGATTCAATGACATGCTTCCGGTACTGCATTCCAAGATAATCTATTTTATGGTTATTGATTTGTCTAATGCAGTTTCATTACACATAACACCGAACCGGTTGAAAACACACACACACACACACACACACACACACACACACACGCACACACGCACACACGCACGCACGCACGCACGCACGCACGCACGCACGCACGCACGCACGCACGCGCGCGCCCAAATACACACATTAACGTAATACGAAAATATAACTAGTTCCGTGAATCTTATAATGTTTTCAATATGTGTAGAATGATGCCTGTTGTATCTCAGTAGTATTAAAAAAATAAATCGTATATCCTCCCAAAAATCCATATTGATCAAACTTTTAAAATCTATTTAGTAATCATGGTAATAAATAACCAAACACATTACCATCAATATTATAACAAAGACGCCGTTTCATATCAAATACATAACACACTAATGTAAATCATGTTTGGCGAATATATGATACAGAGAATAGTAGAAGATAAACTGAATCTGTAGGTTTATTTTTTTATATATATATTTGACACTTGTCTGTTTAGGACATTACAACCCCGCCATATGTCATCTTATTAGATTAACCACCTACAATTTTAATCCTTGAATAATATAGATGTAGAAACTCGCGTGATTTCCTTCAACATAGCCCAGACATTAAAAGCATGAAGACCCCAAAAAGCAAAAATACGAATAAACAATCAAGAATAAAGCCAAACGAAATCCGGAGAAAAAAGGAAGAAGCGGAGAATAAAACAATAAAAACAAACAAGAATAAAGCCAAACGAAATCCGGAGAAAAAAGGAAGAAGCGGAGAATAAAACAATGAAATCAAACAAGAATAAAGCCAAACGAAATCCGGAGAAAAAAGGAAGAAGCGGAGAATAAAATAATAAAAAAAAATCCTCGTCCAGTTAGTGTGGCAACTTCGCTCGCCTCACGCTGCGGCACCAGAGCAAATAATACCTTTCTCTCCCTCTGTCATTTCCACCCTTTTTTTTTATTTAATGATCACTGGCATTACCCTTTCTCATTACTCCCTGGATTATTTGAGATGGCGGTCGACATATTACATACGAGGAACTTCTTCCTGAGGTGTATGTGTGGGATTTATATGTTTGCATTTGGATCTCTTTACCTTCAAATACCAGGTCAGTCTTGAAATAATACGTTTTTGAATAAATGTGATTATTTCAATGCGTTTTTCGTATGTTTTGGATTATTGATAATTGAGACCTTTGTATTCAGATGTTATTTTTGTTTCTGTTTCAAAGGCTGTAGCATATGTCATTTCGGCCAATATGTAGTAGTAGTGGCAGAGTTGGGTAATAAACCTACATGAAATGATAGAGCAGTACAGACTAAGACAAAGTTCTTCTATGGAAATATTTGTGCAAATGATTCTCTAGAAAAGAGAAGATCTTGTTTACATTGCGAGGGTGAATTCTAGGTGCATATACTACAACGGGTCCAGAGGGCTACGCCCCCTGGCTAGGCGTATATGTTACTATGGGGTCTAGGGAGATATGTCCCCTGGCAAGGTGTATATATTACTATGGGGTCCAGGGGGCGTAGCCCCCTAGCTAGACGTATATATTACCACAGGGGTCCAGGGGGCAGGGCCCACTGGCTAGGGAATATGTACCACAGTGTTAGGTTAGGTTGGATGTTGGGTTAGGACGTTTTTTTTAACAATCATGGGGGTCCTGTTTTACCACATAAATTCCCCGATATACTTCATGCCCTCCCCTGCTATCGGGACTATCAAATCAAGATTGTCGATGGAGATGGTGATCATATCTCCTCAAAGATTCATTTGCACAAGGAACAATGCGTAGAATCGTTGAAAGCAGTGGATTTCATGCAGAAAAATATCAAAATTGTTTTGAAAGTAAACCACTACCCTCTTCTACATATTGACCGCCATTTCATTGTCATTTTCTCTCGTCTTATTATGATATAAAAAGTGGATTTCATTTATGTGTACTCTTGTGTCATTTGATTTTATTCAAGTGATATTTTATGTGTTTTTTTCATTAAATACTCCCTAAATCTTAATGTTGTAAATTTTAATCTTATTCAAGTCATTGTATTATTTGTAATGTAAGTAATACGCTTAAAAGTGCATCATTTACATTGCAAATAATATGATTCATAGATTAAATCTTCTAATGAAAAGTATTGCTATAATTATTGCAAAAATGTAAGAAAATGTTGATAGCTGTTCTGTTTAGTTCAGTACAAAGTTTGGAGAATGAGAATGAGTAACATATATATAATTTGCTATACAGGATATATTTATTTAGGATGTAGTTTTGATAATCTAAGGTTATAATTAATGTTACTGCGAAGCACAAAGATAGAGGAAAATGGACAGCGCCATCTTTTAGAGCATAAAATATAGAATAGTAAACAACACAAATACAGCTGCAGCGGCCTCACATTTACCGCAAAATAGGGAAAATATTCTCTGCATATCACTGCTCAGAGACTAAATTCCCAACACAGCCAAAGTTATTATTATTATTATTATTATTATTATTATTAATATTGTTATTATTATTATTTTTTATTATTATTATTTTTTAATAGTCACAAAGTGCTAATAAAGGGGGTGGATCAGGGAGGGGCTTGTTCCCCTGTCTAGGGAATAAATAGAAGGCAGGAAAGGTTAGGTCTGTATTTTGGGTTTGCATGATACTCTGGTTGTGTGATTTCTGGAGAGTGCATTGCTCTTTGTAACAAATACACAGACTACTGATGCTTAGTATCTTTTGTGGGCCATATAGATTTCTTTACCATAGTCTTGTTTATTTTATCCCACTATTTTCTGTATTCCACTGGATCAGTCTTATTCTTTATTTTCTTTTTCTTTTGACTAAAATTTATTCCATCATTCAGTCAGATGATAGTGGTAACGATTGATTCCTCACATTCTCTACTACCTATGTATTTAGAAATTATGTCGCAAAAACATCCCCGATACCCACAATCTTGGCTTTGTTAACAGTGAAGGGCATCGATTGTACCAGGGAAATTGTGGGGTAAAATGTGAATGATATACAGATACTTGGTCAGTATATAGTGCCTCCTGCAACCTCCCCATAAGGGGTCGCTCCAACCCCCTCCCTGTACAACAAAGATTCTACCATGTATGCACAGCAGGATAGATTGTCAGACAGACTCGGCATTGGGTGCTCTAGCATGTCAGTCATGTGCTCTATCCTGCCATGATTACTTGGCAGATTTTTGGTCTCCTAAGGTGGGGTTCAGGGGGTCGCAGTTTCTTAAGGGAGGTTCACAGAGGGCACAGCCTCCTGCATTAGACAGTATAGTGACATATCTGTATGTTATATAGTGATGTATTTCATGTATCTTATATTTTACCCTGTAATTTCCCCGGTACATTTCATGCCCTCTCTTCTTATCAGGGACAAGAATGTGGAGGTTTAGGTTGATTCTTTGGTAAATGTCCTACATATGTGGATAGTAGAGGCTGAAAGAAATCCATTGATACCACTATGATTGTGACCCGTCATGCAAAGGTATTCTAAAAAAGTTACGTATTTAGTTACTTTTATTGGCCTCTTTAATTCATTTGGTTATTCCTATGCCACTAGTTTATTTTTTTCATTTTTTTTTCCCTCCATATATACTAAAGACACGGCATATGGTACCAGTATTCCCACAGGATGTCAAGAAATTATTGAGATGTTTTCAGCTTCCATAATGTAGATAAGATTTTGGCATTTATTCAGAGAACCCTCAAATGCCCAATCATGACGGTAGTGGTATTGATGGATTCCTCTCTACTACTCATGTATATAGAAATTATGTTACAGAAATTTTGGGATAATATATGGCCAGTATATAGTTGACTCTCTAATGGGGTGCTACGACCTCCAACCCCCAATTTGGATGACTAAGGATCCAGCACCTAAGAATGATTGGATTAGTGTAGGACAGACTCGGCATCAGTCACTGTGATTGTACTATGAACATATACAACCTACAACCCACTTGGGGGAGTTTCAGCTTGTATGATATATTTTCATAGTGCTACCACCCCCCTGCTCTGCCCAAGATGACAAAGACTACCCAATGTGTATACAGCAGAACAGAGGAGTAGGAAATCTCATGGGTAGAGAAAGTGTACCATGAGCAGCACCATACTAACCTGTGATATAGTCAGCATCATTTAGCAACCATTAATCAGGTTAGCAAATTACTATTTCTCAGCTATATCTTGATATGTGTACCCTGTATGTTGGTATTTTTGGGTTTCTGTCCTATATGTATGGGTAGTAAATGGTAGGAGGAATCCATCAATACCACTATTGTTGTGATTAGTTGTGCTGCAAAGGTGTTCGGAATATTTACCTAGATTCTGATAGGATGTGCCATAATGTGTATCAGATTGTAAGATGACACACCCTTGAATTAAGCTGGGTTTGTTATCAACATCTGATTTTACTTTTTCCCATAGCCAAAGAACTCTATCCCTTTTTTTGTGGGGAAAGGGCTCACAGTGCCAACCACTCTGCGGTACTCAAAAGGTTAAGGAATTAGCTAGAATAAGACTTCTTTAAGCAGTGCCATTGCTTCAGATTAATTTTTGTCTGATAGTGTTTGTTTTTTATGTTCTCCTTGTGGCTATTAATTTTTTTTTTTTTTTTTTCTTACTGATGTGTGGTGACCTATTCTGGGTTATTAACCATTTTAGCAAAAGTTAATATTATGTGGATAGTTTCAGAATACACCAGCAGTACCTTTTAAAATGAGACCTTTTTTGTTTTAGTTTTGTTTCTCTGTTCTGTCCAAATCCAGTTGAAACTTTCTGTGATATATGATGTATAGTCTATAATAAAGTCCAACACAGTGTCAAGTGAATGTAATAGCTTCTACACTTCATACTCTAGCAAAGGCCTAAAAATGTACATTACATACATTCTGGTAAGATAAGGCTTGGATTGACTTCTTATTTGGCAATAAATTACTTGGGACATTTTTCTACTCTAACTTGTTACTAGATAGAAGACTGTAGTCCTTTGTTAGGGTGTTTACAGATGTGGAGCCCGTGTGATTTGATGTAAGGCCAGTGAAAACCATGCTTTTGTCTTGAAAACATTTCCCATTTTGTAGTACATCATGTAATTTTTAGGTGTATTGGTAGTCACCAAACTATACAACACCCATGTAATAGTAGCTTTGGAAGATTAGTCCATGACCGTAAAGTATATCTACCAACCAGGCTGGTTAACCCATTCGCCACATTTGGCAAGAATAGATGCCATACCCACTTTGAGACATGTTTATTTATTGTATTTACACATAGATGGCTCCACAAGTTCTTAATCACCAAACAGCCAGTTATCAAGAACTACCTATTTCACCTGTTTACCCTTTTCCTTCACTTTTGGAAAGGGTTTTTTTGTATCATTTCATTGTCTAAAATATTCTAGTGACAATTTGGTAATCATAACATCAATAACAATAATAACAGTATCGATAGCAATAGTATTAATTTTCCCGCCAATGCAATGAATGGGAAAATCAGGGTCGGTAACTAGGGCCTACTGATAGACTCCTTGCCGGCTGAGTACATGTGGAGCCATCTGTATGTAACATAATTCACTAAAAACTACAGGGGACAGAACATAAATCCGTGGCAAATGGGTTAAGTTCAGCTAGCATTCTAAGCTCATCCTGATAATATTGCCTTTTTGGCATTTCATTGGTGTCCCTTCAAGGTATCTCACTTGTCAGATGGTGTCATGGATATGCAGAACTTAAAGCAGACTGATTGGGTGTAATAATTCAAAGCCCAGAGGATGGACAGTGGGTCCTTTGTCTATATCTTCTGTGCCCCTTTCGTTTGATGACCTAATCATGTGCTTATATTACTTAACCCAATGCTGGTGGGAATATGTGATGTTCATGGTAGTAATGTTTTATTAAATGTATTTACATGTAAATGGCTCCATAAGTGTAAAACCACCAAGGTATCAGTTAGTAGAGCTATATGATCCCTTTCCCAAAGTTTTTAGGAAACTATTATTTTTTGTTGTTGTTAATGTCAGTGATTATAATTATTATTGACATTATAATTATTACATTGTTATGAATAATAGAAATGGCAATATAGGATGAAAAATTTATGAATATTTATGAATATGCTATCCCCAGCAGCATTGGGTTAATGGTTAAGCCAAGGTTGTCTACCAATATTTTTAATCATACAGAATAGTTATGGTGCTACAAACAGGTCTATGGTAAAAGATTTGTTCTTGATTTTGAGTTGTCAAAATACAGCTACTGATGCACGATGCAGCAGTCAAATTTGAACTGATAATTTCATGGCATTCTCTTACAAAATGCAAAATTAAGGTAACTTTTTCTATAAAAGATATTTGTCTTCTTCACAGGTCTATATGGCGAGAAGGGGGTTCTACCAGCTCACACACAGCTTCCAAATCTGAAGTATCCTAAGCAATGTTTTATGGACAAGTTAACCTTTTTGTGCTTTTCATCCTACTTTGGCCTTAATGTGTCATATATGATGGAGTTTATTTCACTGGCAGGGACAGTCCTTAGTTTCATTGGGTAAGTTGAACAGATCGGATTGTATAATATGTCATTAATAACTCAGAACTATTGAATATGGATATATGCAAATATATAAAGTACTGGTATTTTCATGTTTGTAGAAATTTATAGTTATGAGTTCTTAGATTCATTTCATATTACTCTTCAGAATGGTTTGGAAATCATGGTGTACGGCAACCCTTTTCCTGTTGCTTTGGAGTTCATACCTGTCTATGTATCAGGTTGGACAGACTTTCTTGTGGTTTCAATGGTAAGTTTGCTGTTTTCTCTCTTTCACCACATACAAATTATTTTAAAAATTTATTCTAGGTTTCTGAAATACCTTAAAAATGCAGTAACTCTTAGAATGTTTATAGTATTTTCATTGAAAATCAATATCATAAAAAATCAGTCTGTAATAGAATTTAATGTGATTAACTTTCATAGGGATATTCTCCTTTTGGAAGTTGGCTTCCTTACCATACTTGTGGCACCAGTAAGTCGTCGAGGCTGGTTTGAGTATCGGCCTAGAAACCTAGTCACCATGTGGCTTATACGCTGGGTACTCTTCAGACTCATGTTTGCCTCAGGTGTCGTCAAACTCCAGAGTGGCTGCCCTACATGGTGGGGATTAACAGGTAATGTAACTTGACTTGATCCACTCTTTTTACTTTTGTAGTTAGTGTGAAATTTGTTAGTTTATTGTTTTTACAGTTTTTTACAGTTTTACAACAATTACAGTTACTGGTATTCATTAAGAGTAGAAATCGCATTATTAAATAATTACAAATCTAAAAGTGGAAGGTAATGCTTGGAATATTTAATGCAAGATTTTCAGCTTTTTTGTTTGACATGACTGTGTTAATGTATTGGAATAAAGGTTCATTATATGTTCATTTGATATACTAGAAATATTGAGCTGGAATTTGATAGAGATTCTATTAAATTCTTAAAAATAGGATGTATAATATAATGTAATATTTCTTTTTCAGCTTTGAATGTTCATTATGAATCTCAGTGCATTCCTACCACACTGGCCTGGTACTTCCACCAGCTGCCAGGTTGGTGGCACAAACTGTGTGTGGTTGCCACGTTTGTTATTGAAATACCAGTGCCATTCATGTTCTTCAGTCCAGTACGATCACATCGAATATTCAGTTGCTATGCACAAGTAAGTGTTTGGCCCACTGTTTATGATTTTTAAAATTATTTCCCTCCCTCAAGACTTTGCTGGCTAAAACTTGATTTATGGGAATGCTGTGGAATATAGTTCATGAGAATCAATGGGATTGAAAGCTTAGATTATGATTTACACATTGCCAGAGTTTGTTAGACCCCTTTACTCTCCTTTAAAGAAGTCAACAGGAATGTATCAGAGACATTTTCATAATTTACTCTAGTACTAAACAAGGTTCTATACAACACAGCATAACAAGGTATTAAGCAGAGGATCCAGTAGAGTAGAATGGTCTTGTGGCAGAGGGAAACACTAAGGTCTAAGATCAAGGACATCAATTGTGAATTCAGCTGATGCTGCTTCTACCTGTTTAGTTGATCATAGCACCCGATACCCTCATTCCCCACATCGTGTTGTGACCAATTGTTGCTGAATTGCCATTACACTTTTCTGACAATCACGGTCCTGCTTTCTGTCTGATTTGTTGTCACTCCAGACCAGCTTGTGTGTGTATGTGTGTGTGTCTTTATATTTATATTCATATTTATGTGTAAAATTTACAGATGCTGCTTCAAATAATGATTATCCTCACTGGAAACTACAACTTCTTCAACTTGCTGACTGTTACACTGTGTCTTTCCCTCATGGATGATGTACACCTTGGATACCAATTTGGTAAGATACTGAATGGGAGATAGTAGGTCTCATGTTAAGTAAGTGTGGGATGAGTGATAGGGATAAAGGAGAAAAGGAGAGTGAGTGAGAGTGAAGGAAATAAAGGGAATAGAAGTGGAGGAAGGTAGAGAAGGAACAAAAGAGCAGCTAGGGAATGAGAAAAGGCAGAGGAGAGGAAACAGTAGATGTAGGAAATAAAGATAAAAGAACAGCGGAAGGAAACCATAAGGAAGGGGATAAAGGGAATAGGCAAATATTGGATTAGAAACTTTAGAGAGAATTAGGCCTAAAGGAGAAAAACTGAATGTAAGGGTATGTTGATAAAATCTTAGATAAGTATAGTTTAACTTGTTTTGCCAATTATACAAGCATAAAGGAAGATGCCTATTGATTCATTATTACTTCTTAATTATTTCTTTAAATGATACTGAGGTCAGCATCTCACAACTTTATGTAGCATCATTCTTTAACTTTAATTTTCGTAAATTAAAGAAAAGGGTGAACGAGCAAGACAGGCAGTACAAGTACAAGTGTAGCCATCTATGTCTAAAAACAATTAAACAAGTAAACTCACAGTGGGCATGTCACATATACGTGACACCCGGTGCGAATGGGTTAAGGAAATGTAAACCAAAAATGTGCATTATTATTGTTTTATCCCCTTATAGATTAGTAATAATTAAAAGAAAAGAAAAAATCAAAATAATTATTAAATGTATACTCTGAATTGTATATACACAAGAGTATTTTATATGAATATTATATATCTTCTACTCATTCTTTCCTATTCCACAGTAAAAGACTTGTCGTTTGGATTCATCTCTTACGTGAAAAATACCTGTAGCTGGTTTGGGAAATGGGTCGGATTTGGAGTCTTGATTTACTACACCATGGCTTACTTCTCTTTGCGTGTCACACCAGAAGGAACCATCGAGTCTGTTGTTGGTAAGTTAATGGCTGTTCCTCTAGATGCTGTTATTTACTTCTTTTGATAATAGGTAGTTTTTTCAGTTTGCTTTTGTATGTGTGTGTGTGTGTGTGTGTGTGTGTGTGTGTGTGTGTGTGTGTGTGTGTGTGCGTGCGTGCGTGCGTGCATGCGTGCGCGCGCAAGCGTGTGCATGCGTGCGTGTGTGCATATCCTTGAAAAGAAGGATGAATCAGGTTTACAAGAAGATGAGCCTGTGTTGTGACTGGGCTAAACCTCTTTGTTGCAGCAGTTACTGCATCTCTGTCATTGTATGAAGTTGGAATTAAATCTTTCCATATGTTCACTACTTCAGCAGTTGTGCATTTATTACTCTGCACTTTGTCTAAAGTCACTGCTATTGGTTCTAGTGATGCAAGTAGGTCCTCTGCTGACCAATTCAGTGTTAAGTTAGACACCTCTCTAACGCTGACATCAATCTGCTCCCTATCAACTTCACAAGTTTTCATGATAGTTGGCCAGTTCTTTATGTATATCTTCAGACAGTTACACATGATATTCCATCTTGCGTCTTGAGGCATAACAAGACATTACCCACCTTCCTGGTGGTATCTTGCAGAAGCATAGTGATTGTTTCTAAAGTATTTTATATATATCACATGCTATTTAATATTACCAATTTCCAGATCATGAGCCAGAAAATTTAGAATGTGTGCAGTAAAGCCATAGGTCACCAGCTTCAGTTCATTTCCCTGTTCTAACAGTTTCCACATTTTATTTGCATTACCAGCATTATCTGTCACAACACTACCAACATGGCAACTAAGTTCTTTTCACTTCTGAATTGCTGATTTTGAGAGCTCTTCTAGATATTCAACTCTATGAGGCTGGCCACTTCTGTCTATTGTATCCATTAGATATATGTGGCCATTTAAGGTTGTTACAAACACTTTTATTAACCCATTGTTGGCAAGAATGCATGCCGTGTCTTCTGTGCCTTTTTGTTTTTTTTTATTGTCCTTACACATAGATGGCTTCACAAGTGCTTGATCACTATGATAATTTGTGTGGACATTATTCTTGCTAGTTTCATATGAAACTTGCATTTCTTCACCATATCCATATTTTGATATGTGTTTGCTATCATTTGAATCATAAGTTATAATAACAAACCAAAAGCTTTGCTTAGATATTGATTTTTAGAAGAGATAACAGTCAGTGAGATTGTCTTTCCTAAAGTTACCAACCACTAGTAAATTTAGGATTGTAGCTCCAATGGTAAGTTTGTTTATGAATGCCACCACTGCCTGTTTACAATTGTAACGGTAGTTACCAGTGATTTTATCATCTTAACCCATTGGTGCCGGGGAAAATGAACAAAAAATGGGGAAAATGCTATGCCCACTTTCTATGTTTTTCGTGAAATGTCTGCCAATAGATGGCTCTGCTAGTGCCTGATTTGAAATGGCGGGAAAAACATATTTTTCACTAGTGCTATGAAAATCGATGGTGATATTTTTATCATAAACATTATACTTTTTAAAATGTTTTTTAACATTAGTAACAGCAAAATAAAATAACGTAAAATATTTCGTAAATCAAAGAAACGGGTAAATGGGCGAGACGGGCGGTGCTCGTAGTTGGCTCATTGGTGATTTAGTACAAGTGTTGCCATCTATGCGTAAAAACAATCAAACAAGTACTCACGGTGGGCATAGCACGTATGTACACGTCATACCTGGCACCAATGGGTTAAGTGTTTTAACCCATTGCCGCCGGGGATGGAATGTACGTACATGCCATACCCATTCTGAGTCGACTTTGTTTGATTGTTTTTATACATAGATGGCTACACTTGTACTAAGTCACCAATGAGCCAATTACAAGTACTGTCTGTCTCGCCCGTTCACCCTTTTCATCGATCTACGAAAATATTTAATGTTATCCTAATTTGCTGTTAAAAATAAAACCATCTATATTTATAGCACTTGTAAGAATAAGTTTTTTCCCACCAATTCAAGGAAAGGTGAAATCAGGACTAGCGGAGCCATCTATGTACAGAGATATTTCACAAAAATATAAAAAATGAGTACAGCATTTTTCCCACTTTTTGTTCATTTTCCCTGGCAGCAACGGGTTAATGAATCTGCTCCCTGGAAAATGAATTGAGTCCTAAATAGAGGATCACCATCTTGTTTACAGCTTTCACACGAGAAGAATTTGATGCTTGGATGTCAAGAGCCGTTCCCCTGAGTATTGCCATCGGTGCGTTCTCACTTGTAATTACAATAGCAGAAGCACTGACTTCAGCATTGTTTGAAGTTCGGGGCTTTCTTGATAAATTTGGCGTTTTCAGCACCACTTTTATTTATTCAGTCGCAGCAATCTGCATGTTTGGGATAAGTCTGGTAAGTAAGAGAATATCAAGTAAATGAGATGTCATTTTTGTTTTTGATACTCAATCTAAGTAGTATGCTATTAGTTTGCTCTGTTGGTTTGATGAGTGAATTGAATTTTTTTGCTCCCCTTTTCTAAACTATTTTGAATGAGGAATTTGGTGTTAAGTTTTTGCCTATATCTATATCTCTCAGTCTATCTATCTATCTATCTGGGTATATATATATATATATATATATATATATATATATATATATATATATATATATATGTGTGTGTGTGTGTGTGTGTGTGTGTGTGTGTGTGTGTGTGTGCGTGTGCGCATGTGTGCGTGCGTGCGTGCGTGTGTGTACATATATATACAAACACACACTTATATATATATATATATATATATATATTGTAATAGTATTCCCCATTTATCCTGCATGTATTTTGGGCACTAACTTGAATTACTTACAGATAAGTATAGCTTATAGTATGGATTGTGAAATATTTGGAAACATGATACTTGAGATAGAAGAAACTTTTGCTGAAGAAAATATTCTCACAGCAACTTTTGTATTCCTTAGGTTCCATATACTGTGTTGGACAGACCAACCAGTCAACGAGTGTGGCCAGTTTTTCAGCATTTGTATGGGCATACTTCAGACTTCCACCTAACATCTGCTTATGGATTGTTCCGCCGAATGACTGGTGTGGAAGGCAGGCCAGAAGTCATACTTGAAGGTTCCAATAGTTTGGATGGTCCGTGGATTGAATATGAATTCCCTTACAAACCAGGACATGTGGAGAGACCACCTCCTGTTGTTGGTGAGTTGGCAGTTTTGTGTAATATTGTATGACTCATTATAAGTGGAAAGATAATGTTTTTATTAAACTGAGTAAGTTCAGTGTCTAAGATATGGACTTAGATATCAATATATGCTAATTTCCTGACAGCTCCTCATCAGCCACGTGTTGACTGGCAGCTTTGGTTTGCTGCTCTGGGTACCTATAACCAGAACCCTTGGCTGATTTCCCTTGCTCACCGCCTCTTATCTGGCCAGGCAGAAGTCATTGCATTACTGGATGCATCATCTCCATGGAGAGATAATGCACCTAAGTATATCAGAGCTTCTAAGTATACATACCAGTACACCAGTATAAAAGAAGGGTATGTAATTATATTAAGACTGTTTTTGAAATACAGTGCCAATATCCCTTGATATACATATTTGCATAAATTGGTATAATGGGGCATTTTGTTTGCTATGCTGGAAGGGATCAATTTAGAGATATAATAGATGTGAAAAACATATTTTAAATAACAAAGTTGAAGTTGGGAATGAGGTAGGTGTTTTTAGTATACTTTATTTTTAACTTAGAGATTGTGCATATCAAATAGGTGTATAGATAATCTGGATAGTTGATTTATTTCTCACAATGTTATTGGAATATCCTTAAATTGAAAAGAATCTAAGAGGCAACCTCTCAACAGGGCATCTGGTAGTTGGTGGAAAAGAACTTATGAAGATGACTATCTTCCAATCTTCACAGTTGACCATGCACCATTAGTTGAGTACCTGAGGAAAATAGGTACAATTGGTACAATGGACATTCCAGCTACCAACCAACCTTTACAACATGGATTAGACGCAATCCGGGGTTGGATTAATATTGCTAGTCCTGAAGTACTCCTGTTTAGCTTGTTCATAACTGCATGTGTGATTACATGGACCAAAAGGGGAGTTAAACCCTCCATGTCATACCGGTCAGCTAAGCATGCGGGAGGAAGGCTCTGATGGTAGGTGGAATTTATTTGGATTTTTAAGAGTAAGAGGTTGAAAGAGGGACAAAAAGCACAAAGATCTTTTTGTTAATCTTTGTAGTTAAATAATACCTGTTGTGATATTATTTATGTTTGATAGATTATGAATTTTTGTTTTCTTTTTGTATGTACTGAACAGTTTCTGAGAAATAAATGAACAATCAAAAAAAGGGGGGGGAGAAAAATGGTTTATATTTCTTAATGCTCATAATTTGTTTTTACGTAAATTAAAGCAGTTATTCATTTTTATTTATAACAATTTTTCCAAGCAATGATGAATTGGGCAAATACTGAATTCTTGAGTATTTTGCTGTAAAGAATACTGGGAAGTTATATACATTCTGAGGTACATTTTTGCAGATTGGGATTTTCTTCCTTATGTAGAGGATAAAAAAAAAATAATCAGAAACACAATGAAAATGTTTCAATGGGAATGAATTGTTGAGACTTAACATATATCCAAAGTACTGTACTGTTAGCAAAAGATGTAAAACTCTTGTTTCATAAAAGATATTACTGAAGAATTTTATTAATGGGAATAATTTAAATAGTATATTGTTCATTTGGAATCATTCTTGATAGAAATGGGTAAGTTTTATTCAATGTTATTCCAAAGATTTAAAAGCCTAGAGAGGAGTGGTTACAAATGATTGTACCATTAGGAAATCCGCGTCTGTGATTAACATTTCACAAAGAAAATTATAAGAGAAAATGTTCATGGTACTTTAATGTGTGAGAAATTTAAACATAGTTATTGTCAAGTACCACGAATTTTGTCAGTGATTGGCACTGTTGTGTATGAAGGATTTTTATTAAGATTGAATGTTATTTTTTATAGATAAAACACTTTTATCTACAGTCGTATAGCTATGTTGCAAACAATACAGTACTTGTTTTCTATCTCAATGAAGCCCAGTTTTAAACAGAGATCAAGAGTTCATGAGTGATATGTGTAATCACTCTTTTCATAAATATGTTGTGTGCTTTGTAACAATGGCCTATAACGGGTCACCCTTGTACGAATTCTGTCCAAGGCGTAAAATTTGCACAGCCGAGTAAAGAAGACATGTACTATGTTAAAATGACTTTTTTTTTTCTTTTACATAGCTCATATCTAAGTATTATAGCACATAGAAAAAAAACAGTACAAGGGAAGTTTAAAATGGTATGGCCCTTAATTTTTGCTTTCATAATTATATTACATGTAATTGTTATATTGTTTGTTAACAATTTCTTTCTGCTTTTGCTTATGGTGAAGCTTGGTACAAATTTAGCTTTATATAGGTAATTAGTTTCCATACTTTTATTAGTATAATATCTTTTCCTCAGTACATTCATTTCAGTTTTCATTACTTTATCTTCAGCTGAATGCCAGCTTTTTATCAAAATTATATTCATTACCTTTACGTGCAATTCAGATCCTGCTTGGGATCAGACAGTGCTACGAAATGATCTCTAGTAAGATTTTGGTCACCCCCATAATTTCTCTGTTGAGGATTTGGGGCATTTGGAGAGCTTTTTGTTATGGGACAGTGAGGCAAGATATATTTATATATCTGTATTTTGTTTGATCTTAGTCTGGTAAAAGTCATGTCACCACATCAAAGAATCTGCAGCATATAAATGCTAAGCCATTTGTAAACATGGTTTGCTTATTATCTATTAAATATCAGGGCTACTTATAATGACTCTGTCAGGGAATACTTAAGGGGGTAAAATCCCAGATGTGACATTAGTAAAATAAATGGCCAGAAGTGTTTACTTTACTTAAAATCAGTGATTTTATGTAGTATTTTTTATCTCTTGCATTAACTATAAGTAAATACCACATGAAGAGTGCTGAAATATTTATTTGTGAGTGAAATTTATGTACTACAGTTGTATTTCATTATTTTCTTCAGCTTCAGATACAGGCACAGATTATAAGAGATGATTATACAATAGTATGTTATTGCTATAAAGTCTTCATTTTTGTTACATTATAACAGTTATACCACTCATACTTTTTGGTTGTTGTGAAACTATAGGAAGATGGGTGTTTGTCATCTGATAGGTAAAAGGAATTACACAATAAGGGAGTTTGGATTCTGCCCTAAAGATGAAGATGATTTTATTGAGACTTTAACTCTAAATAATTTTGTATCATTGTGGTTACAAATTACCATTCTCTGACAGTGATTTTCTTGGAAAGTCTTTGTAGATATGCTGTTATTGATGACAACACATAGGGGAGTTTGGAACAACTGTTCTTAGTCCAGTAAACAAACAAAAAAAAGGATAAACAATCAAAATGACATCATATGCAAATTTCTGTACTAGTTGAAATTGGCCAGATTTTAGTTAGTTAGTTGCTAGTATGAATTATATTTTTTAGGTCATTCAGTCAATGTAATACTCGCACACAAGTGACTTACCACTGATTACATGTTTTAGTGATATACATAAAATTAACTGCCAGTTGTACTCATTTTTGTTAGCATAGTTCACTGCTTTTGGAACTTCTGTAATAGGTTTAGATGCATTTATAACAAACTGTATGATGATTTGTGCTTTCGCATTACCGGTATTGATTTTTCTTGGTATACATCCTGGTGGAGTGTTATTTATTATTTTTGATATACAGTTTCCTAATAGATGCCATTATGTTGAAGCGAGTTAATAATGGACAAGTGCTACAAGAATTCATGGTCATATATCTTTTAAAGTATTAGGTACCATTTATTATTTGTGGTATAGTCGTAAAGAAAGGGTTGGAGAAAATTAAAGGAATATCATGATATTGTTTGATGGCTGATATACATTGTATTTTATTGCTGCACTTTATGAAATGGAAAACTGCTAAATTAGTGACTACATAACAGCAGCTAGGTTGTCATATATCAGCCTGAATATTGTACCTCACATAACTATAGACATATCAGCATTTAAATTTTTGCTTTGTGTAACAAAAGAGGGAAAACATTGCTAGTTTCTATACTGCCAGTCATCTAATTTGAAAATGTTAAAAAGATGATTCATTTCTAAAATGATATTAAGCAGAGTGGTGGACTTGCAAAGTAAAGTTGGAAAAATAGTGTGTAATGAGCAATATTGGTATAGGAACCATTAATAGTTTGAAGAGGTTTTATTACAGTATTGGGTATCATGATCAGAAAATTGTAGTTTAATTACTAAGAAATGAGTGCATTTGTGGGGACTTTATTCTATCCATGTGTATAACTAGGATTCATTAAATGTTCATATGTGAGACCTATAGTGAATGTACAGCTTTGGAAAGTGTGAAGAAAAATTAATGAAAGGAAGTCCTATATATATACCCATGATGGTAAGGCCCTTAAATATCATGCAATTAGAATTTAGAGAAAGAAGTGCAATTTTTAGATTTGGAGATGTGATCCAGAAAAGTCCAAGATATTCATGTGATGAAAAATGTTTTGTTGAATTTTACATTTTAACAGTAAAGAAGAGTAGGTGTCCCCCTTTTTTATACATATATATAAAAATACTAAAATTGAGAGATTCAAATAAACTTGTATGTACAGAAATTAAAGATACCAATCACAAAGTGAGCATATACTGGATAACAAACCTAACAAATGGGATTTATCATTAAATCAAAGTATGGATTTTGTAGAGGTATTTGAGTAACAGACATTATTAAGAAAGATAACAGAAAACAATATTGATAAATATCTGAAAATATCTTTCTCATTTACAAGTGTTCTGTTCATTTTGAGAAAGGAGGATATACTATATATGGAGTTGGTTTTATAATTGATAGTAGTGAATTAGTAAAAAGCAGTGAGTTATTAAGAATTTCTTATGATATTGTGAAGAGATGAAGATACTAATATATACTTAAAATCACAAGCAATTTTGTGTTGTGAGAAAATGTAAGTTTACATGACAGCTTTTGTATGTAAGATGGATAGTCTTTAGTTGGGGTTAGCTTTGCATGCCTGCCTTTGAAAGGTGATCTCTTACCAATATATCCTTGGAATATACTTCATATTTTATTATGGCTTGTCGTTTCAAATTGCATACTTGAAAATAGCTCAGTTTTGAAATTGCACTTTTTGTGTCAGATGTTATAGTGGTTGATATTGAAATAGAAAACTGCTAATGTAGTTTTCTCAAGTAGATTCTGCACTATCTGATCTCATTGGTCAATAGCTTGTCCTTTAGCACAGGAGTTAAGCTTAATCATACACAAAAAATTATGTGTAGGTGAATAGTCTATTTTTGCTGTCAGAACTTAAATGCCAGTGACAAGATATCAGTATTTAGTATATGACGTTGTAGTGTTCACATTTGATATTGAATTGTTTGATTCCATGGAAGTTTGAGATTTGTGGTAACTAGTGAAAAATGAAGATGATTTTCTTCATATTTTATATATAGTGCATTTAGAATATAGAGCACTAGATAAGAAGAACTGTGCTTAGAGAACAGACAACCCAATTTTGTTTAGAATTTGAGATGAATTTTGATGTTTTTGTGTAGCAAAGGTTTCCATGTCTTCCTAAAGCTTATGTAACTTGTGCTGCAGTGTTTTCCCTCTAATGTTGCATAGCATATTATCATCATGCATTTTTATTCATAGTTTTATGCATTGGTTAGTTAATCACTTTGTTTTCCAGAAGATTATTTAGAAGTATAAATGAATAATATTTTCAGGCAACTTGTTGATATGTAGGTAGATATTCAAGAATTAACTTTTTCCTTATATTTCTATATTGTTTTACTATCTTTATTTAAAGTAAGACAACATTTTGGTGCTTAGTTGGATGTGATAACTTTTTTTATTCTTCTTGTTTACTAGACTGATTAGGAGAGGCATGTACATGTTAACCAAAATAGTGTGATTTTTATTAGCTTTTTTATGAAGGAATTACATTGAGCATATTACAAGTTAATGTTTGTTTAATAGCTCCCGTTGAGTTTCATAAAGAAAAAAAAAGCCATTGGATGGAAAGACGTCTGGGTCAGAATATTTCTCTATTTTTTCTCTGTTTATAAGTTTTCTTTCATTTATTTATACACCGCTAATGACCTTAGCTGTTTATGTGGCAAATAATAATAATAATAATAAAGTAATTTATTTATAGTTTGCCACTGAATCTATTAGCATATTTGACCTTACCATTAATAAAAGCACTGCAAGATGCCAATATTTAAAGTACCCAGTGGATGGTGAAAAAGTATGTATAATACTATTTAGTATAATACCCTGATGAAAAACATATCCATTCTCTTTCATTCAATAGAGAAGACCAAAAAGCAAAATGCCTAGACAAGCTTTAAAATTTTATAAATTTTTTACTTCATAGGATTCATATGCTAAAGAACCATAGACCAAAGATATATTTTCATACAATGCCTCCCATTAAAGGCTGGTAATAATAACTGATTAACACTTTCTTCCTCTTTTACTCTTTTCTTAAATGGAACACTGAAAGACAGGATACAAAAAGTTGTTCAGAAAGTCCAATTTTCTTTTAGTGTCTTTTAGCTCATGTATGTTTGAGAGGTGAATTAATTACAGTTATCAAACAACATGATGTATTACAAGGTTATTGTCACCAGTTTATATATCTATTCTTTTGCATAGTAATTTATTAAAAGTAGATACAACCTCCTTTACTGAACAACTTACCATCAGCCATACGGCAATTTTAGTTAGAATAACGTTCTCTTCACCAGTCATGACATTTTAAGATTATGTTCTTCCTTCCACTGTTGTTTTCTTAACCCATTGCCGCCGGGGAAAATGAACAAAAAATGGGGGAAATGCAGTACTCATTTTTTATATTTTTGTGAAATATCTCTGTCCATAGATGGCTCTGCTAGTCCTGATTTCACCTTTCCTTGAATTGGCGGGAAAAAACGTATTTTTACTAATGCTATAAATATAGATGGTGTTATTTTTAACAGCAAATTAGGATAACGTTAAATATTTTCGTAAATCGATGAAAAGGGTGGACGGGCGAGACAGGCAGTACTGTAATTGGCTCATTGGATACTTAGTACAATTGTAGCCATCTATGTGTAAAAACAATTAAACAAGTTGACTCACAGCGGGCATGGCATGTACGTACATGCCATCCCCTGCGGCAATGGGTTGAGAATGTTATTTTCTATGCATGGTGTACTGTGTTTACATCATTCTTTTACTGTTATGAAAACAATGAGCTTATTTGTTAATATTTTGTTTGTTACCATGTTAAGAATAATTAACGTTTTGTTTAGGAGCATTAATAAATTGTAAAGAAGGAAATACTGATGTGTTAATCCTGTATTTCATTTAAGTTTAGAAATACAAAATGGATGTACTTCAGTATTAGTGTTTGGGCATAAATTGGTGGCAGTGAAGAATTTATTTAGGTTTTCCTTTTGATTTATTTAATATTTTCTTCCACAGCTTGTCATCTTCAGTGGAAAGATTTGATGAATCATTATATTAAAATGCTGGTTTGCCTAATGAGAATTCTAGAAATGTCTTTCCTTGTTTTAAAATTATTGCAAACAATTTAGAAGTTAACTACATTTTACTTCTTTGTTGAAATTATTTCAGATTTGCATTTCTGTTACTTCATAACTAAAAGTATTTTCCGAGAGTACAAGCTAAAAAGAATTGATTAACTTTTAGATTCTGCTTTATAATGAGACTGACTTAGATATAAGTTTTCTTTTTTGCAGGAAGTTGTCTTTTTTCCTAAGCAACAGAAAAGAGAAATCGTAATAACCTGATAGGTATGCTTGAGTGTGTGTGCGGTGCTGCATTTCAGTATATGGTAATAAAACTTTAGATAAAAATTTGAGGCATATTATTTATCCCTTGGTGAATTTATATGTTAGTGTGCTCAGCTGTTATGCTGTACTGTAATCACTATCTTTATTTAGTTTGATTTAAAGGGTAACTTTACAGTTTTATACAATGAAGAATATAATACTGATATGCTTTGATTATGTCATAAAAGTGAATGAAACAATTTGGGATTTGTTAAGAAACATGCTTTAAAAATACTTGCTGTGACAGTTTATGTTATACCTCTTGCATCTAAACTTTTGCTTGACTTGGGACTTACAGCTGTAGGCTGATTCAATGACTCATGGATACTATGCTTAACAAGTTCACTACACTGGCACTTCTATGAATAGTCCCTTTACACAATGCCAAATGAAGGTATTAACTGAAAAAAACTTGATAGATGTGTAGGAATAATATTGTACAAAATTGTTCAACTCTTTATTTTTAGAAAACATGCTATTTACTTAGTGAACATTATGCAAATTAGGATAACGTTAAATATTTTCGTAAATCGATGAAAAGGGTGGACGGGCGAGACAGGCAGTACTGTAATTGGCTCATTGGATACTTAGTACAAGTGTAGCCATCTATGTGTAAAAACAATCAAACAAGTTGACTCACAGCAGGCATGGCATGTACGTACATGCCATCCCCTGCGGCAATGGGTTGAGAATGTTATTTTCTATGCATGGTGTACTGTGTTTACATCATTCTTTTACTGTTATGAAAACAATGAGCTTATTTGTTAATATTTTGTTTGTTACCATGTTAAGAATAATTAACGTTTTGTTTAGGAGCATTAATAAATTGTAAAGAAGGAAATACTGATGTGTTAATCCTGTATTTCATTTAAGTTTAGAAATACAAAATGGATGTACTTCAGTATTAGTGTTTGGGCATAAATTGGTGGCAGTGAAGAATTTATTTAGGTTTTCCTTTTGATTTATTTAATATTTTCTTCCACAGCTTGTCATCTTCAGTGGAAAGATTTGATGAATCATTATATTAAAATGCTGGTTTGCCTAATGAGAATTCTAGAAATGTCTTTCCTTGTTTTAAAATTATTGCAAACAATTTAGAAGTTAACTACATTTTACTTCTTTGTTGAAATTATTTCAGATTTGCATTTCTGTTACTTCATAACTAAAAGTATTTTCCGAGAGTACAAGCTAAAAAGAATTGATTAACTTTTAGATTCTGCTTTATAATGAGACTGACTTAGATATAAGTTTTCTTTTTTGCAGGAAGTTGTCTTTTTTCCTAAGCAACAGAAAAGAGAAATCGTAATAACCTGATAGGTATGCTTGAGTGTGTGTGCGGTGCTGCATTTCAGTATATGGTAATAAAACTTTAGATAAAAATTTGAGGCATATTATTTATCCCTTGGTGAATTTATATGTTAGTGTGCTCAGCTGTTATGCTGTACTGTAATCACTATCTTTATTTAGTTTGATTTAAAGGGTAACTTTACAGTTTTATACAATGAAGAATATAATACTGATATGCTTTGATTATGTCATAAAAGTGAATGAAACAATTTGGGATTTGTTAAGAAACATGCTTTAAAAATACTTGCTGTGACAGTTTATGTTATACCTCTTGCATCTAAACTTTTGCTTGACTTGGGACTTACAGCTGTAGGCTGATTCAATGACTCATGGATACTATGCTTAACAAGTTCACTACACTGGCACTTCTATGAATAGTCCCTTTACACAATGCCAAATGAAGGTATTAACTGAAAAAAACTTGATAGATGTGTAGGAATAATATTGTACAAAATTGTTCAACTCTTTATTTTTAGAAAACATGCTATTTACTTAGTGAACATTATTAATCCATGGCAGTTTTCATTACTTTTTTTGTATTAAAGACTTGTTACATCCAGTTGATGAGTCTGTCATCTTGAGAATTATACTATTTGATTGTTCTCATGTAGATTGTCTCAATATTCCTTTTATTTTCAGTCTTACTTTTTCTGATTTTATAAATCATGTAGAGTACTTGTCCAGTGCAAAGACAAGTACCTATGTTCCTTGGAGCATAGGAAAAAGCTTACTTAACTCAAATGTTGCCAGGAATATGCTGTGCTATTTTAATCTTTTTTTGTGAAATGTCACCTGCATATAGATGACTCTGCGAGTGCTTAGCCACAAAAGAGTCAATTAGTAGAACTTGTGGCCTTGCCCAATTTCACCTTACCTTGAATTGTTGAATTTTTTTTTTATACTAATGCTATGAATATCTATGGTGTTATTTTCATTATAAATATAATTACTATAATGTTATTGACATTAGTAACAGCAGTATAAGATAATGTAAAGTATTTTAGAAAAATCAAGGAAAAGGGTAAACAGGCGAGATAGGCAGTACTTGTAATTGGCACATTGGTGACTTAGTACATGTGTAGCCATCTACAATTAATAAAGTAAACTCACAGTGAGCTTGGTATGTACATACATGCCATGCCCTTCGGCTTTGGGTTAAGGAAGCTGAACCTATAAATATGATCACAGACACTGAAAAGACTACCAACTCTCATAGTACTTCATGGATGGTATGAATCAATCAATTTTATAGTTTTATATAATTCCATAGGATCAGTCACAGCATACAATATAGGGAGGAAAAATCTGCGCTAGGCTAATTATGCAGTGGTTTTACTAATGGAGTATAAAATTTAGAATCTCTGAACACAACCGTTTATGTTCTATAAGGTTGTCTCTTGATAGTGCTAAAGACAACAATTAATTTGTTTTAGAGGATATTTACATTTTATAGACTGTTATCACTAATTTCCTATACTTGCTCTTCATTTTTAAATGCTGAGAGAAGAAAGAGAAATGTAAAGGCCTTTATAGATCCCGAAATTAAGAAATGGAAGTTATAAAAAATACAACCCATTTCAAAATATATGGTGCAACCCCCCCCCCCCCCCCATCCTCCCCTAAACTGTTAGTGTTCAAATGTGTTCAGGTTAGGTGTAAGGGGAAGTCCTTGCAGCTGTTATTATTTCCTGAAATTGGCAACACTTCCTAATAATAAAATTGGCCATTCACTTCATTAGTCAGTCATTGCATTCTTGTACTTGATTTTATGAGGATTACGTATGACACCTATAAACCACAATTCTCTCATAAAAGGTTGGCCACAAACATTAGACAGAACTAATAAAGATAGCTTTTATGCGTTTGTTCTTAACTCATTTTATACTCTCCTTCTGCTCATGATAACAGTTTTGAAGAAGCATTTAATCACACACTGGTCCAACTGATTGTCAAGATAAATTTCTCTTATCATAAGTCATTTACTTAATTCAGTACAATATGACATCAATACTAGCAACTATGTTGACTGGGAGATTTTTTATTAAATATTTTTATATCCATATGTAGTTATTATCTTTCATTTTGCGATTTTTTTCATGTTTGATCTTAGAAACATGATAAACGAGAAGGAAGATGACAAGAAGCTCTAGTGAATAGGAACCCATTATCATCCGTCAGTGGAGGCATCTGTGGCACGTTGCTGTGATCGATGAGTATGATAAGTGGCGCTGATGACATTTAAAAGTAAAAAAGCAAACGGCTAAATGTGGTGGTTGTCCTTATCTCTCATATCCTGCGATAGACTACTACGGGCGATATTACAGGAGTCAGCATAACCATAATTCGAATGTGACGTAATAAATTCATAAAATTTATGATGCCCTCATGGAAACGGCATATCCCCAGCGGAAGACTTTGGAAATTTTAGGATCGAGTACCTAACTAGAGTTGCTCTAAGTGCCGGTTGCATATTTAGATGTGACACATTTCCGCCAACGAACAGGATGTAAAAAGCAAACAAACAAAGATGCGCATACCCAAACACGTATAATACGAACTGATCATATATAAATCCGCCACTCTATATAAATGTATCTGTAAAAATCACGTATTTTAACAGCTTGAAAACTTACCATTAGACACATTTGATAATTTTCTGCACCAATGTAATTAAATATAACCATGAGCGCGTATTCTCATCTGACGTGTCCCAGTAAACGGCAATCTTATCAGAATGATGTCACTCTTTCGTCATTGAGGTCTCGTACAACTGGCGTTGGTATTACTCGCCACTGCTTTTTTTACGATCTACCCACAGACACACTGCTATTATACATTATGAACAGCATGCTGGGCATCTTTTCTTTTGTTGTATTTTTAGCATTGAGATTGACTTCCTTAGTAATTTCATTACAAGTTGACAGTTCGTTGATCATTTTGTCTGCCAAGAATACAATGTTTCACAGGATTTATTCATCACGTTTGCAAAGCAAGGGAATGAATACATAATTTCAACCTGTTTTTGATTTAACATTTTTAATAATCAACCAGCTTAATACCACTTTTTTAACAGCACTAAGTGAACCTTGCAACTACGTTACTTTTTTTTAGAACAGTTCTTGTAAATCAGTTATTTTTTCCTTGGTCTAAACCTTGATTTTATCTTGACTGTATGTCGCAAACTTTGTCTTATACTTATTAAAAATTTCAGGACGAGGTTAATATCAGAAGCAGCTCAAGATAAGCAGGAAAATCCCTTCCTCAGCAAGTGGACCTCTTCGCTTATCAGTGTGAAATGTTATCTTTTAATCTAATATCCGAACCTGAAGCAAGCAGCCCTCTTATCTCCGGAAGTTTGGCACCAGAGAGAGAGAGGAAAAAAAAGGCGGTCATTTGAGTTAGTAACTCATTCTTGGTTTCTCAAGAAGCGTAACCAAGATTTTAATCAGGTTTATACAGGGAGCTTGGGGGTGTACGGAAGAACTAATTTAATTAGGTAATCTTCCTCACATTTCTGCCACTGTAATTCAGTTAGACTGATCTAGTATGCGACCTTCGCCTTGATACAAATTTTCAATGACAGTACACTTTTAGTTTCCCAATAATACTTAAACGGTATATTTGATAATGCCGCGTCTATAGAGTACTCGTCGATCGCTACCGTTGGTATCAAATAC